ACCCCCACCCCCTCTGCCGGTCGGGAGCGAGGTGGGGGCGGGGAGAGGTGGGCAGCCGGACCAGGCTGGTGGGGAAGGTAAGCGCCATGTTTGCGAGCACTTGGAGGAAAAGAAAGCTGGGAAGGGGGTGGGGGAGAGGAAGGTGGAGGAGGGGGAAAGTTGGCGCTCACCTTTTGGACTGGGTCTCCGAGGGGTTCCGGTCGCGCTGCCGGCGGTTCTTGAACCAGTTGCTGACCTGGGTGAGGGAGAGGCCGGTGATCTTGGCCAGGTGCCGCTTCTCGGCGGGCGAAGGGTAGCGATTCTGCTTGTAGAGCTCCTTGAGCGCGTTGCGCGACTTCTCCTTGAAACAATACACCGTCTCCTCGCCGTCCCAGATGGTGCGGGGCAGGGGGAATTTCCTGCGCAGCCGGTACTTGTCCACGGCGCCCAGCGGCCGGCCGCGGGCTCGCTCGGCCTCGGTGTAGCGCGCCTTGTACCAGAGCTGCTGCAGCAGCGGGTGGTTGGCCGACTCGAAGCTGTGGCTCTCGAGGATGCTGTAGAGCTCGGGGTAGATGCCCTGGTGGAAGGCCACGAGCGCCCGCGCCTTCAGCAGGCTCTCGTTGCCACGTAGCAGGTCGCTCTGGGGCAGGGACCACAGGAACCGGGCCAGGCGGTCCAGGTTGCCCCCCTGCTGCAGCGCCTCGCACACGCAGGCGACATGGTCTGGCGAGAAGGCCAGCGGGGGCTGCGCGGCGGCGGCGTGGGGGTGCCTGCCCAGAAGTTCCGAGTGGAGTTGTACCTGATCCACCGCCGCTGCCCCGTCCTCTCCGCTCACCCTGGCGGCGGCGGCCGCAGCGTCCCCCGGCTCCAGGGGGAAAGGGGCTGGAGCCGGGGGGCTCAGCCCCGCCGCCGCGCCCCCCGCCCCCTCTCGGTGCGCCTCCTGCCCTTCCGAGGCGCTTTCCATCCCATTCTCCTGCTTGATGTCCGCCGCACTTGCGATCTGCCCGGTGGGGGAGGAAGAGGACATTTTTTGTTGTTTATTTTCCTCCCTCCCTCACTCCCTCGCACTCTTTTCCTCTTTCTTCCCCCTCTCTTACTCCTCCTTCTTCGTCTCCCTCCCTCCTCTCCCCCTCCGGAAAGCCCACTGCCCCCCTCCTGGTTTCGGCTGGATCTGGCCGATCAGGTTTCCCCCCGGCCACGCAGTCACCATTAAGATAGCTGCTAGAGCAAAGTAGTGTAAACGGATAGCTGCTTTCTGCCGTTCCCCCAACGTGACTCCTCCGGTTGCTGCATACTATATGGCACTGGCGGCCGGGCCGGCCCGGCCGAGCCACCTCATTGGCTATTTCGCATTCAGGAGGAGGAGGAGACGCCGTTTCTATCCCTGTCGATCACCCGCCTCCCACTCCACCCCTCGCCTTTCCTTCTCCCCCTGACCCCCAGGCACCTATACCTGCAGGGAAACACCGACATTCTTTTCAGGCCGTGCTCCTGGGCGGGAAATTACCTAATGTGGCCTGAAAACTGGACGGCTCTTTCAAAGAGAGGCCCTCCCATTCCAGGGGGAATAATGATTGTGTGGCCTTAAGGGCTGGACAGCTAAATTCTTAACAAAGAGGCCACCCTCAGCATCTAGGTGACAAAACTTAACAGGACAGTTCTGAAGCTTCCCAGTGTCTCCCTGTCCTCCCTCCCCCACTTTTCCGATGTCCTTATGGAGGATTTTGTATTCAAAAGGTCAAGAATAGAATGGCACTAGGGAATGTTCTAACGAGCGAGCACTTACAGTAAATTAAAATTCCAAAGGGGAAAAAGTGCTTGAAAACCTTAAAATAAGCCGGGCGCGGTGGCTCACGCCTGTAATGCCAGCACTTTGGGAGGTAGAGGCGAGAGGCTTGCTTGAGCTCAGGAGTTCAAGACCAGCCTGAGCAACATGTGGAGACCTCGTCTCTACAATCAAATAATAATAATAATAAAAGGTAGCCAGGCATCGTGGCACACACCTGCTGTTCCAGCTACTTGGAAGTCTAAGGCGGAAGGATCGCCTGAACCCAGCAGGTTGGGGCTGCAGTGGCCGTGAGCATGCCACTGTACTTCAGCCTGGGCGAGAGACTCCAATTCAAGAAAATAGAAAAGAAAAGACAACCTTAAAATAAGTGGTATAACTAGCCCACTGAGAAGACAAAAAACAAAAGCCTTCAAAAAAAAAAAAAAAAAAAAAAAAAGAATAAAGTACTTAACCTTAAGTCACCTGCAGGGCTGGCAATCCAACTGAGTTGTACATGGTGTAATTAAACATACAGAATATTAAACCATGTGCTTATTCTGGATGAGTTGTGTAGAGGAGAACTAAGCTTTAAATTATAATAATGGTATGGAAAGTGAAGTCTTCTCTATGAACATTTTAAATGTAAGTGTATGAATAGCTCTTCTTTGAAGATGATATTCTGGCTAGGAACACTCTCTGTGCAGGTGTCTTTCAAGAGATCAGTGCAGGATCAGCAGCCCTTTCCACAGTATGGACAGATGGAAGATTGCCCTTTGGTTTGATGCTGAAGCAAGAGGTGGAGGAGGGTAAGTGGTGGAGTCTTTCACTGTTTGCAGTTAAGTCTCTTTTATATATAGTTTGCATGAGGTCTCAACTCATCTCTGCTTCTTTGACTACTGAGGGTCAGTTGGGTTTGCTCAAAATCCAACATTTTAATGACCTCATCCTAACCTTTACTTCAGGGTGACCGTATATTGTTTTGGCTTCCCAACTACCCATAACTGCCTACTTCAGCACATTACAAAGCTACTGTTTAGGCCACTTGCTGTCATGATACACTTGGTGAGATTTTCTTTATTGTGGACATTCTGCATTTTATTATTGGTCAACCAGGATATCATCTGATACGGGATGTAATGAAGCCAGCAGTGCATAATCATAGAAAGACCATGTGCTCCTGCTCCACTGGAAACATTCACTTAGGTATCAAGCTTCAGGACTCTATCTGATATTCAAAGCTTCCTTGAATTTTTTTTTTTTTTTTGAGTTGGAGTCTCACTCTTGTTACCCAGGCTGGAGTGTAGCAGCACACTCATAGCCACCGCAGCCTCCACCTGCTGGACTTGGGCGATCCTCCGGCCTCAGCCTTCCAAGAAGCTGGAACTACAAATGCACGCCATCATGTCTGGTTAGTTTTTTTGTAATTTATTGTAGAGACAAGGTCTCATCAAGTTGCCCAGGCTGGTCTTGAACCAGCAGGCTCAGGCAGTCCTCTTGCCTTGGCCTCCCAAAGTGCTGGGATTACAGGCTGAGCCACTGCACCCAGCCCTTCCTTGAATTTTAAAAAATATTCTTTTTGTTTTGGAATGCTTTTGATTTACAGAAAGGTCACAAAAGTAATACAAAGAGTTCCCATTTACTCTTTACCTAGTTGCCTCTAATGTTAACCTCTTACATGATACTGGTACATTTGTCCAAAGAAACTAACATTGGCACGTTTCTATGAACTAAACTCTAGGCTTTGTTAGGATTTCATGAGTGTTTACACTAGTTTCTGTTTTCTGTCCCACAATCCAATCCAGGACACCATATTACATTTAACTCCTTGGTTTTTTTTTTTTTTTTGAAGTAGGAGTCTCACTCTGTCGCCCAGGTTGAGGTGCAGTGGCACGCTCATGGCCACCATAGATTTGACCTGCTGGACTCAGGTGTTCTTTCCACCTCAGCCTTCCAAGTAGCTGGAACAACAGGTGCACACCACCATGCTCAGCTAATTTTTTGATTGATTTATTGTAGAGACAAGATCTTGCCAAGTTGCCCAGGCTGGTCTTGAACCCCTGGGCTCAGGCAATCCTCTAACCTCTGTCTCTCAAAGTGCTGGGATTATAGTTGTGAACCACCATACCTGGCAACTCCTTGAGTTTGTAAAGCATATTTTTTCAGAGCAAAGTTGATAGGATATAGTGTGGTGTCATGGAAAGGATGTGAATTTGAAGATCAGGTAGCTAGACATAGGATTAATCCTAGCTGCCATTTATTAGCTACTTGATTGTAAAAGGTAGACAGAGTTGTGATGAGGATTAAATGAGATAGATGTGCCAAGAAGCACCTGGTGCATAATTAATCCTTGTTATTTGTTATCTTCTTCCTGATACTGCAAAGTACGAGTCTTTTTTAGTCATATATACCTAATGAAAATTCCTTTGACTATGTTTGGGGCCATCCAAGATCAGGTAATATGAGTCTGCTTCAAAATTATCATCAATGAAATATAGTACACTGACTTAGAAAACCATGTATTGGGCTTCTGCATGTTTTCTGTATACTTGCCTCTAAAGCATCAAGTTCAACAGATTATGTAGAAGCAGCAGGGCCTTTTATGACATCTATAGCTTGTAGCTAACTCCATTGGTATTCCTTAGCTCCAGTAGGACCAGAAGTGAAATCCAACACCAGGATCCAGGTTCCTTTAGCAGGATGAGCCTCAGAGCTCATTATGCCAGCAATTCAAAGTGAACTGAAATATGGTCAGCTATGTTGGAATGGAACACTAGATTTGATTTTGATTTTGTCAAATGGTTTGTAAAATTAATAAATACTGGTCAGGTGCGGTGGCTCAAGCCTGTAATCCCAGCACTTTGGGAGGCCAAGGCGAGAGGGTTCCTGAGCTCAGGGGTTTGAGATCAGCCTGGGCAACTTGGTGGACCTTGTCTCTACAATAAATCAAAAAGTAAAAAATAAGAAAATAAGCCAGGCGTGGTAGTGCGTGCCTGCAGTTCCAGTTATTTGGAAGGGTGAGGCGGAAGGATCGCTTGAGTCCAGCAGGTCAAGAGCGTGCCGCTGAGCACTGAGTGTACCACTGCACTCCAGTCTGGGCAACAGAGTGAGACTCTGACTCAAAAAAAAAAAAAATTAATAAATATTTCTACTTTCTATCTGTGCCATGCTGTGAACATCAAGTCTGTTGTGCTAATAATGCAGTTTAAATCTGTATTGTGATTTGTGAAAACAGGATGGAGGCTTGGATTGAGTGAGAATAAAGAGTATAGGAAAACCAAGCTGCTTCTTTCTGAATCTTTTACTTCTAGCCAGAAAATAGCGTTGAGTGTATGCGAAAATCTTTGCCATTTTAGTGTATCGAAGAAAATCTGGTTCGGCAAAAATTTTAGTTTGTTTGAATATATCTGACGGTTTTGTCACCAAGAATGGAGATTTCTTTTTTCAAAAATGACTTTGATTTCTGAAGGATTGTTCGTTTGACAAACATTTAGTGAGTCCTAACTAAGTTCGAGGTATTGCGTTAGGTATCAATGGACAGAAAGATGACTATTTTGGGGTCTGTGTCTATGAGTTGCTTAAAATTTAGTGAGGGAGATAAGACATAGCCATAAGTAAACCCAATACAGGATATGGGAGGGATGAGAATAAAGGGTCTTATTTTGAGAGGAAAAGGGCAATTGGGAGGGGATTTTAGCTGAGTCTTTACTGGTAAGAATTTAGAGAAGACAAAGATGAAAGTTCATTGGGAGACATGAGGGAACAGACTGAGAAAAGTATGGAGTCATAAAGCTATGTGGCATATTTCTGAAAAAATGAATAATCCAGTGTAGGTTTTATGTAAATGTGGGAGATTAGTTTAAAAGGCATGTTAGAGACATATTATCAAGGACTTTAAATGAATGCTCAGTTGCTGTGGTGTGGACAGTGGCTGTGTTTGTACGTACATCACATCATGTCTACCATTGATGACCCAGGATGAACACTTGCTACAAACCAAAACAATCAGAATCCTTTTTTGGGATTTTTCAAACTTGTACTTAAAAACCTATGACTGGTGGTGGGAGGTTTGGATGTAATACTTAGGAATTCTCAGTGACCAAGTTATCTGCCTGTGTAGGACATTGATGAACAGTAGGTAAGGTGGAGCATATTCTTTCGTTACCCCTATTAAGTGAGTCACATGGGCTACAGGGGAGGGAAGACATCAGGCAGAGACTGAGTGCCAGCTTCTAGTCATCTCGCAGGCATAACAGTGCTCTTACATTTTTGTTGTGACCTGAATTTCCTCAGGACCTGGAAACCCCACCTGAACTGGCCTAGGGGAGAATTTTTCAAATTGACAGTAAGGGAAAGGCAGCATAGCCTCTTTGATGAAGCTGTAAAATGTGAGCCAGGAACTATTGGGAACCCTGGGTCCAAATTGCTGGAGAAAGCTCCTTTGAAAACTAACTTGATGAGAAAGGCAGAGACAAGTGCAATGGGATAGTAGGTCTTCAAGTCCAGTCAGCTGCACTTCTGCTCTTCAT